CATTATACAGCTAGCGAATGTTCGTGAAGAGGAGAAGCGCACGCGGTGTGTAGAGGAGGAAGGGATGCACAGATGGTGGAAGAAGGAGGAGGAAGCTTGCGGACGGCGCCGCACTACAAGCCTCGAGTATTAGATGCTCCGCATCTAAAATAAAGAAGAAAGCTGGCCAGCGTGAAAAGCATTTCCCAAATACTATCACGACAATTTCGTATCCGGATAGTGACAAGCCCCGGCTTGGTGGGTGACACAAAGAAATTTTCAGGGATAAAGTGGAGTTAGTTCTTCAATGTTGGCAGGATTATAAATCAATTCGCGATACGTTCATTAGAATGCGTACGCAGAACAAGCTTCTAAATAGGATGATGATGGTAAGGATAATGATATTGATGACAATTTTACACGTGTTCATTGATTGATTGATTGATTGATATGTGGGGTTTAACGTCCTAAAACCACCATATATAAGAGAGACGCCGAAGTGGAGGGCTCCGGAAATTTCGACCACCGGGGGTTCTTTAACGTGCACTGAAATCTGAGCACACGGGCCTACAACATTTCCGCCTCCATCAGAAATGCAGCCGCCGAAGCCGGGATTCGAACACGTGACCTGTCGGTTAGCAGCCGAGTACCTTAATCACTAGACCACCGCGGCGGGGCCACACGTGTTCGTTGCTTCGTTTTGGTGTGTTTAAGCTTCACCTTCAAAGATGGTTAGTGACGTTCTGCGCAGAATGCGCAGCAGTGTGTTCGAAGCTACACGATCGTTTCAGCTGTTCTATTGAGATCACGCACCCAGACGCGGATAGGCGTTTTTTTTAAGAGATTACGTGAGCATCAGTGGTACAGCTGGAAGGTTCGATGGCCACTGTATGAAATACGACTCGTTGCGCCGGTGATTCAGCTATCGATGGCTGAGGCTCTGTCTTCCGCTGTCGCTATAGAGTGTGGTCCATATACTTGCGGCTTCTCTACACTCGTTTCCCTGCCGCAAGTTTGGCCATTTGAAGATTTTTTATTTTAGGAAACCTGTCTGCCACCAGTGTCATTGGGAACACCCTTTGTAGTGCTTTTGAAACATTTTACTCTTGAAGAATTTTGAGTATATGGCATCTCCAGGGGTTCGAAGCTTCACTTGATAAAAATATCATTTGGGTGTTAATTTTTCGTTAGGATAACTCGAGACATTTTCAACTAATATATCAGCTCGGTACATGCGTATTTATTTCACGCTTGTAGAGATTGTTACGTAAACAAAATGGGAGCACTTTTTTATTACATGGCGCACGAGCCTGTGTGTATTAAAGATGAGCATTTTCTATTAACATTGTCTTACCTATATAAAGGTATATTATCTATAACTAAAGAATTGAAATTTTGCCGGAACAATAACATTAAGCTTCTTTTCATTGTAAATCACGCCAGCGCAGTTATATTTTAGCCTGATAATTTTCGTCTCACTATCTTTTTTAAAGTGAAGCTGGATAGACATGATTAAGGACACCCAAATAACGTTAGAAGTTATTTGGGTGCCCTTAATCATGCTACCCAGCTTGAACCAGTGAAGAATTTTTGAACGATGGTGTGGGCTGGACAGACGTTTTAACAATTGTACTTTTTCTTCCAAGGCTTGGACTGCGTGCTTTTGTACATTAATTTGCATGTTCCGGACTTTTTCTTCCCGCTAACCCGCAGATTTTCGTGACGTTCTGCCTCATTCAGCACAATGGCGTAGGAACAAGCGGCACTCGAGCCCCTTCTCCCTACGCTGTTTTTCTACTTTGCTTGAGTTTGAGGATGAAGTGTCAAATATGAAAATTAACCCGCTAATGCACGCAGCTTCCGCTTTCAATAGGACAAGCCCGCTGATCAAAATTTTGGGTCCAGTGACACGCCGTGCTTCGAAGATTTTTGATAATGACGCGGCGTGTCTCACCCGACTAATGTGAACCAAGCGCTTCGTAAAAACATGGAGAGCGCTTTTCGGAAAAGCGAAACCATTTTTGGCGCCCATTTCACAAAAACAAGTAAAAATTGGTGATAATGTGGGCCATGAAACACTGTGGTAATAGGGCTAATTTCTGTGAATTGTTGGGAGGCTTTGTTTGGTCCCGTAGATGTACTGCAAGAAGTTCAACTTAAGCAGGCAGCAGTCGTTAAACTTTTTTGTTGGGACAAGACAGTACTTTTACCCTGATAAGCTAGAGAGCGCAGTCTTTTCACTCTACTGCTATAGCATGCCAATGAAACCGCAAGTTTAAAGTGAAAAAGTCTTGTATTCCGTGTGTTCCACAGCGCTTTGCCTCACTTTGCTGTGTAGGGCTGTCATATATCCCGCACTCTTCTGCCGAATCCTTGATATTAGAGACTTGTGTTGTTTTATGCTGCAAAAACAAACAAAAATTTATCTTATATGTGTCCTATTACTGAGTTCTGTTTAATTTTTATGCTTAAACTGCAATCCCTTTTTCCTGTGTTGGCGACGAATAAAAGAAGTGGTACACTGAAACATCAGTCAACTTGCGCTTTATTTTCAACAATTTTGACGAAAAAACAACTAAACGTAAAGAAATGGTGATCACAACAAAATGTGGGACACATCACTCACACAAATATAATTTATATTACATACGCGTGAATTCCGCACATTAAATAGCATGACGCACGCCTAATGTTGACGCATCCTCCTCTTCTTTTCTGCTCTCTTCTCCCGCTGGGCCACCCATGATGCCAATGCAGAGACCTATTTCTGCAAGTGTAGTGCGTCACTGAAACGGTATAACAATAAGCACACTCGTGTAATGATAACTACTGTGTCATAAATACATGAGCGGTTTTGTTCATGCTTCAACGAAAACATCATTAAACCAGTGGCACTGAATCGTGAACAAAGCAGTGGTTGTCTGCTCTATTCAGGCAATGAAGACTCACATGATCCAAGCATACGAGTAGTTCGAGGAGAATACTCATCACAGGTAATATAAAAATAACATCTCCTCAACGATTTGTAGGCTTCGATCATAAGTCGTACAGCACAAGTAACGGCAAAACTTTTCTTGGTCGCGACAAAGCTTTGCCTCCATTCAGCGACTATACCACTCATGGTTTCAAAAATTTTTAGTTTTTAAATTCTACATCTTCTGACCAACATGTACTTTCTGCCGTATCGCCGTTACATCTTTCCTCGATTTTCTCCCCTAGACGTGGAAGGAGAGCAGGTGAAGCATGATTTATAATCGAAATGCGTCTCAAATATGTACAAACAGTTGGATGCTTCTGATAAGGTATATACACATGTTATTGGCCAGCCTTCCACAAAATGATAGCAGGTATGCTTTTGACTTCATGAAAATGCGGCTTCATAAAAAAGCTTTAGTGGCGTTAGACTTGGAATTGTATAGATTAAGTGTTCAGTAAATTTGAAATCGTTCATTTAGTATGAGAGCTGATTGTGCTTATACAAAGAAAATGAAGTCCTGAGACTATGATTGAAACTCAGGAAAATGATACAAAATCCGCGCCTGTTAGATACGTGTTTTAGTTCTGCACAGGCGATGTCCACCTCGACAAACAAACTAAAATTTGCCCTATGTGCAGTGCCTTATGAACGCCTTTGAGCAACACGAAAAAGAAGATTCATATTGCTTTTAATATCTTAAGATCACAAAGCACACATGACTAGAATGCAGAAGTGTAATGACACCAAATGTTTTATGCAATACATATTTACTTCTTATTGATTATTTGGTAGGACATATTCTAATGGTTGCTTGAAAATAACTAGTTCAATTCTGTCATGTATTTTTTTATTATTTCATAGATGGGACTGTTCTTTTACGTATATTCATGTTTATCATCGGTATGAAACACATGAAAATCACCCTATTCGGATCTTTCCTAAGCGTACCTAATAAAATATTGACCTACAAATGTTTTTTTTTTCAAAAATTAGTAGAGTCACAAACCTTCAAAGTCCATCATGCAAATCAACTCATCTGGAAACTATAGTAGTTGTTTAGTAGTTGAATATCAGCAACGCCTAACTTGCAATTAACATTCATGAAGTAGGTCCAAAATCAAACACAAACAGCTGCCTGGGTAATCTCTGATGACAAATTACAGAGTAGGCATGTGTACAGCACATGATACTATGAGCAGCACACGATACTTTTTTCATCTTTCTCAACATTGCAATATGAAAACGCGAACATATACAACAAACCACAATGATGTGTGAGTATCGCTTTTTTGCTGTTTCCAATGGTTCATGACACAAGAATCTGCAACTTAAATGTCGACTGTAATGCAACGTGCTCAAGGAACTGGATTTAAATTATCTGATCACAATGTGACAGAGCCGCTGAGTTGCTTAAACACGAACAGCTGTCTCCGCAGTAACCAGGAACCGCAAAGGGTGCAGGGTCTGCAGCACCTATGTCAATTGAAGTGGTTCAGAAAAAAAGTCCAAAATTGTTAACAATCCTTCAACGACCAAGAGCTTGAGCAGGTTCGGCACGTCACACGTGGGGCGCTGTTGCCAATTCTCGGCTCAGTTCACAGCAGCAACGGGCGCACTGCAAGGAGGGTCCACATTACCAAACGGGTTTGTAGGGAGCAAACACGAAGTCTACATCATTTCGGCATGTTGATATTCACTCGTAAACAGCCGCAAGCTACGTTTTCAGCACCGTCTATTAGACGTCAATAACACATCGATGCCGCTGTTCAGGCGTCCCTTTCGTGCCCCATCTCAAGAAATAAAACTAAGAAAATTGTCTCCCAGACGCCAACCATTCGAGGAACCCGCTTGAAGATTTGGGTTTCTTCACTTCACTTATCGAACACTCATTCATCACAGTCACTGATGACCAGTATTACAGAGGCTCCAGTGTCAACCGAAGGCTAAACTACACTCCAACGCACGACACACTGTTCCGCCTGTACAATCCTCCCGTCACGTAGCCTCGAAGTGCCACGCTGGGGACAGTGTCGCCACACCTTGCTCATAGTCCGGTGCTCTTTTTAACAATCCAAAGTTGGTTGTCTTCCTTTGGGTACACCGATAATATCTGCAGCTGCATCGCCTCTTGAGGACTGGCGGTCGTCGTAGATGGGCAAGCGTCACTCTCTGTGCTGTCTCTCTTGGCCACACGATCTAAGTAACAAGTGTGAAATGAAAAAAAAAAGAATATAAGCTAGTAGCCTTACTTTATCTCCTCCAGTCCAGAAGAAAATCATATTCCGGAAGATTAGGTCGAAGAACAATACTACAAACAGCATGGTGAAGGCCTTGCAAAGCATACAAAGTAATACATCAGAGCATTTTTGACAACACGGGCATGCATCGACATTGGTTAAAAAGTTGTCTTGCATAAAATGCAAATCGAAATCATGCTGAAAGAAACAGCATTGCTTTAAATATTGCATACCGTGGCAGCATTCCCCAATATTGAATACGCATTCTTTTCTCACTGTGCTTTATTTCTCATAAGAAGAGATTACAATTAACCATATATAAACCTCTTTTTTGCAAGTTTGAAAATACGTTCTCATGAAACATCAGTTTTTTTATTCATATGCATTTTTAAACTTAATGCAGCATCATAAAACCAGTATTCCGGTCCGTGCAGGTTATATTTCCCCGCAATTATAACAGCAAAAACAAAGACAACAGCACTACTGCGATGGTCTCGTGCATAAAGTACTCAGCTACTGACCCGCAGGTCGCACGATTGAATCCCAGCTGCGGCGGCTTCATTTTCGATATAAGCGCAAATGCCCGTGTGTTCCAATTTGGGTGCACGCTGAAAAACACCAGGTGGCTGAAATTCTCGAAGCCACCAACTACGGCGTCTCTCAATATCATATGACGGTTTTCGGACGTTAAGCCCCACATATAAACCTAAAATACAACAAGACGTTTATATTTTAAATAACAATGAGTAGGAAAAACAACAAATCCTTTCAGACTGCAATCGTTCAGCAAATATTAGGGTCCTAATTACAAAGCTTCGCAAAACATTGCTGTGAAGTATTAACTGTAAAACTACTGCACTTAATTATTTTCGGTCCCAGATTGTTTCCTGCTTGCGAGTTCCAGTCTCACACAAGGCGAGTCATAAAGCATCTGAAAGCGTTTTGCTTAGGTGGTGCAGTTGAAGGAAAAAAAACAACTGGCGTCTGTTTTTTACAAATGGAAAGGAAACAATCAAGCCCCCTTTGGAAGTGCGAGTTTGTCTGTTTCCTAGCTTTATTATAGGAACAGAGCGATTTAACTTAAACCTCAATTAAGCTTAACCGACACTCCATGTCTGCTTTTTTTTTTGCGGTGTGCGGCTGTTGTTATTTTTGTTCTTGCATTTAGTACATTGGGTAAGGGCGAAACGGGTTGCTTTCCTTGAAGCAGTTAAACGAAAGTATGAATACGGTTTTCTTTTTCGGCCCGCTTGCTTATTTTTTTCTGTTTTCTATATCAGCACTTAGAGGTGTTTGCATTCACTTTATAAATACGTATTAACCTCATATTTTCCTGAACAGTTTTGCGGTATACAAATGTATACCAAACTTAATAATTTATTAGTTGTAGGCACAGCTCAATTTCCCCCTGTATGTAGCGCTCATCTGTATGACTTTATGTTGACCAAAAGGTGGTTTATCTTCTTCGTGGAGAAGGAGCATAAACAGAAAGAAAGGAGCTTGACGAAAGAATGAAATCTGCAGAGTAATAAAACTGATAAACTTTTAAGTACGTTCAAAACGAACAAACAAGCAAATTAACGGTAGTATTACAATGTCCATAGGAATAGTGAACATATTAGGGCTCGTGAATTGACAAAATGTTCAAAATGTTCAAAGTTTCTGTCTTTTCAGAGTGCCCCGAAACTTCACCTTTGGGAAATATATTGAGAGCGGCGCTAAATAGCTGGAGCAGAAAAATAAGCACCTACGTATACTCAATACGAAATTTCATTTCAAGGGTAATATAATATCCAAACCACCTAACAACGACACCAAGTGCGTAATGACCAGCGTAAACCCTGAGTGCAGAAGTGAGTTACTCGATCAGGTGATCTAGATGTTTAGATGCGGCAATTTTCTTCGATTCCGCTAATTATTTGCTCCCTCTTCTATGTCGTTTACCTCGCACCCCTAAAGGTTATGAATGTTACCAACTGGCTCATGTGTGCAAACCCCTGTTATATGATCCCCTCTGTTTGAGATAACTAAACTTGGCCCAACCTCCTAATGCTCCTGCTGTTAGCTACCGACTAGTGCGCACTGAATCGTTTCGCATGGTCAGCGTTGTTTGATATGTGCACTTTAGAACGAATGAGTACGTTTGTGTCTGCCTAGTTATTTTCATTGCACCACCGTTGATGTTTTTGTATCAGTGAAAACAATTCACAGAAACTAAGCTTCATGGCACACCTCAAGCTGCTATAGTGCACTCCTGCAGCCGGTGCAATCATTTTACTGTATAGAGACTAGTGTGGTAAGAATATGTGCTTTAGAGTAGACAAAAAGCATACAAGCAATTCATGCTGCCCTAACATTCGAACAGATTAGTATGTTAAGATTGGTAGTTACATAGAACTCGTTGCAAAATATTCGGATGTCCTAGAACTCTTGACATAGCCGTATTAGCTCTAAATGCTCTATTTGCTCAGCAATATGTGTACTAGCAAATGAATTTCATTATGAAAATCTATTAGCAAGAAAAAAATTTGGCCCATCTATATCTTAAATACGTTGGGAAGTGAAAGTGCTGCAGAGAGATGGCAATATGTTGCCTGAGAAAAACCACGCCATGTTTGTGGAGTTGGCCAGTGAAAGTACGTGATTTGCTATAGACAACGTATACTCACTCTTGTTGAAGAAGTCACTTCTCCTCAGCTTCATCGCCGCGAACACAATGAGTGGCAACAGGCAGAGCAGCGACACGGACACGACCACCACGATGAGCAAGACGTTGGAGTAGATTTTAGCTTCACTGCCTGTATTAACAACAGGATAATGGTAAGTAATGACCATAACAAGGGTAAACGTGCAACAATTGAGAACATTTCAGAAGCAAAGTTACTTAAAGCGTAAGTCTGTCCATCCCTTGTATATATGTATGTGGTAGTACATAGCTAGCGGTGGCACATACCTGCTCTAAATCGGGTATGTGCCACAGAGGATGCGAGATGGGAGATGACAGTACTTGGAAAGTTCACTAGATGGACGCACGGACGAATGGACAGACAGACTAGCAGAGAGACTAACGTATGAATGGATAGGTACGTGGACGTACGGACAGATGGACGCACGAAAAGACAGACAGACTGATGAATGGATGGACTCACGGACGGACGCACGTAAATATGGGCGGACGCATGCATGTACGCGCGGATGGTCACGCGAACGGACGGAAGCAAGCACGGACGGGCTCACAGACGCTTCGCCCCACTCATCATCATTCACTCCGTGAATATGCTGTTTCTGTATTGCCAAACTTTATTAAATAAACGATGTCCGCTGGGCCATGATGTCAGCTGTTGCGAGGTTACGGGTCCCTTCTCCTAAGGTATCAACTCTAACTAATTGACTATAGCAGCAGGGGTGCGTTTTAAGTCTTACTCTAAATCACGATAATAAAATGGACGAGTAATACATGCATAATTATGCTAACACCACTGTACCCGCATTCAATGATCACGTGCCCAAATGTTTATGTTGTGATAGCGCATGGGCTCTCGGAACCAAATATTTACACTGACAGTAAGTCTGCTCAAATGTTGTTGAATATATTATTTATACTGTCTGCTAACACTAGCCTGTGTGAACGTCATTCATAATGCAAACGTAACTTCCCATTCTTAGGCATAATCTCGTAAATAATCAGGCAAAAAAGGTTTCCATCAGCCTAGATTTGCTAAAATTACCGCAATGAATTGAAGGCAACGTTTTCTGAAAATCAGCTTTGCAGTTGCATTAAGGGTACTATTGATCAGCAAACTACGCCCAAGAACGACGCTGCTTTCGAACGATTGATATGCTCCCAAAACTACCACACCGGCGGCAAACATATCAGCACCTTTGAGACTGAATATGGCAGAATAAATAGAATCTATAATGATGAAAAATACCCAATGAACTTCAAATTTATGTTCCGTTGGATAGCGTAACCTATATAACTCACTTTGCAGTCGCGCGCGCAGATTTGGAACGTAAAATGCGTAGTTGTACATAACGAGCTGCATTGCTTTAATATGAATGCTATCATTCAGCTGCGGACAATCAAGTAACGGATACACACTGAGCTTGGTGCAGTTTCTTGAGTTGACAATCATACATAATCTTCTTGTGTGCACCCAGCTCCCGTGATTGTGGCATAGCAAGTTATCTTCGTAAGATTATTCGAAATATGTCTTTCAATGTGCTATGACATAACTCATATATGCGTCGACCAACTTGAAACACGTCGCAGATAATTTCAACTTCCAAAGTAAACGATACCAATATTTGGAGTTTAGAACCGCGAAAACACAATCTGATGATGAATATGTCCTAATGGAGGGCTCCAAACATTTTTTTGACTACGTGGTGTTCTTTACCGGGCAACCAATATCTAACTACGTGGGGCTCAAGAATTTCGGCCTCTAATGAGAATGTAGTCTACGCGGCCAAGATTCAATTTCGCGGCCGTCGGGTCTGTACTCACGCACCATGACCACTACACAAACGTGACGGGTATTAAGATCAAAATCTACGTACAGCTTACTCGATGTGAATGGACAAACAAACGTATATCTGAAGGCTTCATCTTAAAAAAAAAAAGGATCACAGCTTATCCACGGAGTGAGTGATGATGAGTGGGGCGAAGCGTCTTTCAGCCCGTCCATGCTTCCAACCTTCCGTTCGTTCTTGCATTCGTCCATCCGCACGACCAACCGTGCGTCCATCCATGCATCCGTTCGTCTGTCCGTGCGTCATTTCGTGAGTCCGTCCATACGTCTGTCCGTCCGTTCGTGCATCCATCCGTCCGCGCATCCGTCCATATATTCGTCCATTTTTTAAACTGTCTGTCTATTCATCCGTCCATGTGCCGACCTAGTGAACACTGTAGTACCGCAATCTCGCATCTCGCATCGCGTGTGGCAGATCCCGCTCAGCACGTCCTACCGTCCCTCCGTCCACCAGGTAGTCGATCTGTCCGTCCGTCCATGCGTCCATCCGTCCATGCGTCCATCCGTGCATCCATCTAGTGAACACTGCAAGTACCGCCATCTCTCATCTCTCATTGCCTGTGGCACATAGCCGATCTAGAGTGGGTATGTGCCACTGGTGGCTACGTACGACAACAACGGAGGAAGGACAAACCCACACACAAAGGAGCTTAGCCCCTGAAAAACATCACTGATTTAAATAGAAACCAAAAAACATCACATAAAGTTTGGCGCTCTCCTCGAGCGATGTTGTCTTGTCGGTTTTTGAAATAACACTGTTTTTTTTTTCAGATGAATATATACGAACCAGCTCACTTTCATTCACTTATCAATCACACATTGCTATTAATTTGAATCTTACCTGACATGGTGAGTTTGCCCACTAGAGGCATAATCGGAGGCAGAATGGTTAGCTCAGGACTCCGGCCCCGCTCATTCACAGACGATATCACTAGGAAGTACTCTACACCCGGAAGAAGGTCGTGAACCTGTTAAGACAAATACAACCACAAGTATTTATTGTGTCATTAGAACTCTCTTCCTTGGCAGTCACAACTTGAAAGTAAAGACACAGCATCGCGCGTTTCGAAGCGGCGAATCGTGAGCACACTCATTCGTGTATACCGCCACTCAAGATGGCTTGTTGAGGTGTCCACCTCCATTATTAGGCCAAGTTTACCCGCACTCACACCGAAATATAAAGCATGGGAACACTCCCAGCATGGTAAGGCTTTACATATAGTGAATGACTGCTTCATGAAACTCGCTGCGTCACTAATTTTATTCACAGATGGAGGTCTCGCTGTGTACCACTACCGAAAGTTACACTGGTAGAATAGTTCAACAGTTACGTTAGCTAGACCGTTTCTTCTTCCAGTAATTGGAAATGAGCTTTATACTATGCATTACTGCTATCAGTAGCCAAAACTTTGAAACTTAGAAACTTACTTGAACACTATGTAAATATGTTTCTTATGGCAGTGGAGCGCGCTCCAGTAAAATTTTCTTCGTCACCAGCTCAAGACATAAAACAGAATTTAAAAATTACAGAGCTTCCAATCTACCTAGTCTATAGACCATAGTGTAAACTAGGCGGGGAAGGTAGTTTATTAAAAATAACTAGCGACAAATTTGACTTGAGGTAGTATGACGCTGCTTGAAGTTACAGGCGACTGTATGGAATGCGTAACAGCGTTGTTTTCAGCAAACTGCTTGTGGCGTGCGAATTTAGGCACTCGTGGAAGTCCTGAAACTAAACGCAGGAAACACGAATAGAAGCACTTCACTAAGCTTTTATTTAGCTCCAGAAACGCAAAGCAAACGAAGAAGGAGTAAGATGTGACACCGGCTAAGCGCATTCTTTCCTCACTCATCCACCTCATCAGCCTCCAAACAAGGAAATATGAAAAACGCGTCAGCATGCTGGGCACTTCACTTTGAAACAAGATTCTTTCAAAATGATTGCCAAATTGTATTCCACAAGTTGGACTTATTCAATGTGGTTGCTGCCGGCACACGAGCAAACGTTCAAAACGCAAAATCCTCAACTTCGGGAGTGTTTTAAAGCCACACGTTTCATATGTTTGCCATCTTTACCCCGTAGTTTGCCATCTGTACCCCGTAGAACGAAAAAATTCTGTTTCGCAACGTGCTCGACCATTATTTATAAAGCAAAGCGAACAATGTATGATTGATTACAAGATGTAGTGGCTTAATTTTGTTTGGCGGCCTGTGTCTTAGCCCCATTTACTTTCTATAATATGCAAAACGCAGCATTGCTCCTAAATACCTGTTTGGGTTAAAAGCTCATGGCTTGCCTTTTACAAACAACCCATATGAGCTCGTCATTTTGATTTTACTATGAATGAAAGGCCCGTAGCTTTGAACGAAATTTTCCCACAATTTTTCAGCTATATTCTATGACAATTATATTAGCGATCCTTCACGAAAAGCTGAGTTTATTGACAAAAACACTTCAAAGAAAATGTATCACGAATAACAGGTTCATACACGTGCACTACTACTGCATTGTCAGAACACCTGTCAGCGCTGGTTGCTTATGAGTCAGTACAATAACATTGCGTTTGTTTGTTTGTTTGTTTTTTGCACGGGAGTGGGAATTGTCCATGAAACACGATCATTCAGCAAAGATGCTGGTAACTTCATTCTCTTCTGTTTCTCTATAGGCACCTTCGAACATTTCTGTTCGAAGGCTCTGCTTCGTAGATGGCTTTGGCTCCTACATACGGCTCCTATGCGGAACTTGAACTAGCGAGAGACTTGATAATACAGACAGATGTACAGCACTGACGCCCCATTTTGTTCGCGCTGAAGGAACACTTATTCATTCTACCGTGCAATATTGTATATTTAGCACAGATTAACGGCACAAATAAAATAAAATCTATATTAGGACGTTTACATTACGTCATGCGAACCTTGAGAGGCGTTACAGTTGGTGGCTGCGGATTCATTTTGACTGCAACACATATCTTAGGCACTCTAGGCATTCCTAAATTTCAGCCAGCCCGCCTTGTTTTTCGTGTCGCCCATTTGAAACGCGGCCTCTACAACAGGGCACCGAACCAATCTGGATCCAAGAAGCTTGTAATTAAAACATCTAATAAAAAATATCTCCGAAGGTGTGCATTGATAATGCAACTTTTGAAGACGACATTTTTTCTCGGGGACCTTCGACGCAAAAATTTTGGTCTGTTTGTCTGTCTGTACAGCTGTCTGTTTTTCTGCCCTATCAGTACCCTGACAAAAAAAGGGCACCATAAATTACTCAAAACGGCCGACTCCATCTGCAGGATCCACCAATATTGCTCGAAGTTCAGCGTTAATACTTGCGCAATTTGGTCAATTAAAAATCAATTTTACGCATACCTGAGGCAGCACAACACGTATATATTCTGTATGTGCGTCATTTACTAGAAAAGGCATACATAAGTCATTTTAAGGACCATAGCGTTTATGACGCTGCGCTGACCATGCAACCCTTGCATGAAAATGCAAGTGTTTCCAATGCTTTGCTTAGACGACATGGTGGTGGCACCTACCCACCGCCTTGCGTCCTACACCTCATCACCTCTGAGACGGGCGCACACACCGCTCGCTTCGTTTTCTAAGTTAACGGCCAGATAGCACTCATGTCTCACGTATGACGTGATTTGATGCGCTCGTTCGCCTCCGCTGCACGCCCGAGGCACTCTAACGCAGTGCCTACAGAATACTATTCACGGATTTTCTTCCGCAGAACATCAAATAAACATTTTGTGCACTTCCTCCAGACGCAACTCTATCGTCTTTCGACGACATTTGTAGTGTAACAAGCAGATACGGGGCAATTTTTTGTGAAACACTTTGCTCTATTAATGGGGCCTTTTTGATTAGACGCATTGTACAGCATTAGGTGATTCTTTTTGTTTTGAGAAGCTACCAATGTCCTTGGTGGAGAGAGAGGGCGTAAGAAAAAAATTGTAGGCAACCATTATCAGTAGTTTAGATCTCTGGCAGTGGCATTGAAACGTCGGCATTCTTGTGCCACGCTGTACAGCTTGACTTCGTCAAGCTGCCATAACGAATCACTGAGCCCATGCAGAGAAAAAACCGTGCTTTCCATCCGCTCCGCCAGGTACCGCAAGGATCCCAGCAGCTCACAAGAAAACAGTCCACGTTCAGTGAACTTATTCAATTGATTTTCGGGAATTTCTGTTACAGGAAATTTATTTTTATTTTATGTAAACCAATTCAGCTCCGCCGCAGTGGTCTAGTGGCTACGGTACTGGGCTGCTGACCCACAGGTCGCGGGATCACATCCCGGAAGTGGCGGTTGCAATTTCGAAGGAGGCGTAAATTCTGTAGGCCCATGTGCCCAGATTTGGGTGCGCGGTAAAGAATCCCAGGTGGTCGAAATTTGCGGAGCCCTCCACGACAGCGTCTCGCATAATCATACGGTCGTTTTGGGACGTTAAACCCCACATATAAATCAGTAAACCAATGCAGTGGCTCAATGAATATTCAATTAACTTCTCACATGAGCCTGAACCATCAATTTCAAACCGGCTATATTTTTAGAACGCTATTTTCAGTATGCTAAAAAATGGGAAGTAAGTGTTTGAACGAAATGCTTGTAAGATAAACAACAATGTCATTCAGCGCTCATGCCTTTAAAAGAAGGAAGCGTTCTTTTTCTCTGTGTTGTTATTTGGGGGACGGGGGCGAATCACCCCACAAGATCAGCTTGACGGTGTGCTTCGTCAACTGCTGCTTTCGTGACGGTTGATTAGCCTGAGCGCAAGAAAGAGATCACCTTCACTCGCCCAGAAAGGTCTCGCTACCTCTCGCCACCACCTCATCGCTCACCGCGTTGCGAGACCGAACGAAAGGCGCACGTTGACTACGCAAAGGCCCTTTTGCTCGCTAAAGACAACGCCCAGCGCGACCGTTCACCGACACCTCTTATATATAGACGCTGCACATTGAACTTAAAAGAAGTGCCGGTGCTTAAATACTGTTGCGCGTAGTTGAATGGAGATTCGCACACTGCGAATCTCCATTCGCGCTATAATTAAAAGCGGTCTGCATCCTTTGCTCTCCCCAGATTTCACGTTACTAGAGCAGAAATGCAGTTCTCTACTTGCTCCGACCAGCCCCATTTTCGTAGCTAGCACTCGGCTTGCGTGGCATGCAAGCACACTCGGCGCGGACTGCGACCGTCGGTGGGCTCTGCACACGATAATTTAAGCATTGAGGTTTTTTGTAATATTTCTCACGTTGAACGGTTATCTGTGATGCTGAAAGCACGAAAAAATTCTTGAAACTCTAATTATCTAAGTGAAAGAGTGCGCTCACCAAAAAGTCTGGTTTATTGGCAGTGAAGTTAGCGACGACAGTGGCTGTGAGCACATCGTGCACGGAGAGGACGAAGTGGGCTGGCATGTGACCGTCCGAGCCAGCCTGGCACTCCAAGTGCAGAGATCCCTCGGTTTGGTTCGTGATGGAGCAGTTCTCCACGGGCCCCGGTGGACCTGCTTCCAGATGCGTTGACACAATCGCGACAACAAAAATTTAAAGGTTTAAATTGGAGCACCAAACGATATACATTATATGGCGTAAGAGATGAGAAGGAAATCAAGAGTGCGATACTCTCTTTATTTTCAAGTAAAAAAAATCAGTTTGAATAATTCATTACTGAAATTCAAAAAGGGGCCTAACCATGTGAGTACTCATAAAATGAGTACTCACACGGTTTGGGATTTCACAGAAGGCAAATTTTCTACTTCCTCGGTATGCAATGTTAACGCTGTTAACACATTGTGATTTTAAAGTCTGTTACCCAGCATGTGCAAGCAAGCGCCACTACATTGAACATTACTATGACGTGCAAACGCAGTTCACTGTGCTTGGGGACCCTGCGTTCTGCATGCAGCCTAAATCGCAGAAATGAATCTTGGAGTCGCTGACGACGATTTACGTGCACCACGTGCGAATGACAGCAGATGAGGGCTTCCGCTAGTAATACGTCGATAGTGTCTGTCTACCCGTAGCATAAACTTATGGATGACGTCGACGAAAAATAACGTTCTTTTTTTTCTGGAAAGTTAGCAAGGCACAAAAATGCAGATCTAGAAGTCCCTGTGTTCATTACGCAGTTACTTAGCTATATTAAGCTGATGCAAAAAATGCTGTTTCCGGTAGGGGCGAAGTTCGTTAAATTCAACACTTCATGTACTTAGTAGCATATCCAGAGCCTCCACGTTCTAGCACGGGCTTCTCTTGATTTCGTCACCAATAAAATATTTCTGTGGTCAACGCTTGTCTCATGCTACCAGTAGTTGTAAATAAATTCTGGGCCACTTCTTCGCGATGACGACATAATACTAATATTTTTGGGCTACTACTACTACTACCACTAATACCATTCTGACAAACTAATAATAATAATAATAATAATAATAATAATAATAATAATAATAATAATAATAATAAAGCTTTTTTATGTAAAGCCGTATTTGACGATGTTTCGAGCACTACACTGATTTGCGAAGGCACGGCTAGATATCGCTTACAATGAAGGACCGTGTTATTGGCTATATAACCCACCTGCCTGGACGACGTGAAAGAGGCACGGCTGTCGCTGCTTTCCTATGCGGTTTGATGCAGTGCAGAGCAAGGTGCCGTACTCGGTGTGGCTGTGAGGGATGTAACGGGCAACGCTGCGTGGGCCCTCTACCCAGAAGCTCTTGAGGGGCCGCTGCTGGAGAGTGCTGTTGAAGCGCCACTCGAAGGTGACGTTGCTCGGGTCTGCTTCGACCTCGCAATGCACTTCGACCTCCTGGTGCCGCGATGCTGCATACACCACGCGCTGGTTCGCCTTGCACAGCGGGGCGTCTGCAGGGATGACAACGGAAGAAGGAGAGAGTTGGATGAGAGGGATAACTCAGGATGGTTAACTTGGTACAACGAATCGGTTCACTACCCTGCATGGGGGGTAGGTGTTGTAGAGAGGATAGAGGGATAAGAGAAAAGCAACACAAAGCTGCACACACGCACGCGTGAGCACGCACGCTCTCACGCCCAATTCGAGACACCCCCAGAGCGGATGACTATAGAAGGTGGAGCAAGAAATTTTGTGGAAAGAATCCGGCATCCTCGATAGGGCGGATCCCACGCCAGGGTGAGAAAAATTGTTATTCACAATTTTGGTGACTTGCTCATACTCCGCGTATTTAGCCTTTTCACATGAGCACCATATAAACTTTCTTGAAAAATATGGCATTATGTACATTGTGTGGTGTATTACAGAAAATAGATGACGGTAAAATTTGGTCTATGTGCACTTCTATTATTTTCTAATGCTTGGCGGCTCAGCGGCTTATATAGCAAAGGATCTTCTACGCAAGTGAAGCCCACCAACGATCTTTTCGTCCTAGGGATATTTTGAAAAACGTTGGTTCATCAAAACCATCTGTTCCAAGGTAACCGTGATAAGGCTATTCTCGTATAACTACGAGTTTTATTGACAATGGCCCTTACGCCCTTTAGCCACTCGCTCGCTAGATTCCGTGCCTACCGGTTGTGCCCTCGTGATCTCCGACGTCAGCGTAGCTATGGCCGACTGGGCTCGCCATACGTCATCTCCTGACGCCGACATCCGACGACAGTGTAGCTCTGACCGACTGGACTTGCTCTACGCCTTCTCCTGACGCCGACAAGAGCTCTCGCAAGTGGTGCCCCGTCCTCAGACTCCTGTGACCGTGTTTCCATCTTTCCTATCTCTCCTATCCTCTCAACATGTCGTCGCTTTCATGCTTTCACGCTTACCTCATCTCTCTTTCTCTCTCTCTCTACACCTTTATTCCTGTTCTTTTAATCCCTCCTCACCCCCATCCCTTGTGAGCTACTGCTGAGGTGTCACTCCCTGAAGCAGACATTTACGGGGCTCACTTTTCTTTTCTTTCCCTTCTTACAACATAACCACTTCCCCCCCCCCTTTAGCCTCAGGAGCATCATTGGTCTATGTAAAACAAGTGTCCTGGAAAATTGTGCAAAGTTGACAATAAAAAAATATCCAGGAGTGAGTGGTGCTCTTGTAAATAATTAGGAACTCCTTTCATGCTGAGTATGCACTAATCCATAGACCGGAACGTGTAGCGTTATCTGAGTCTTCAAATATATACATATATTTTGTGTCCCTGTGACTGTACTTCGCTCTATTAGGTGTTGTCTGAGTTGATGTAGTTTGATTTTCGGCATATCCGTTGTCTTTGACTTCAATAAATGCCAACTATAAGGTTATGCAACTGGACAGTACTTTAGGTTGTACTCCGAGTGCGATGTTATATTACTTGTTATGTGATTTGTTATGGTTTGACTAATTACATTAATTTTGCTTAGCCTGTGTTTTAAGCAACTTCTTTTGAGGGCTGTGGTCTTCCCTATTCTGATTATTTTACAGCGGACAACTACAGCGTGAGGCTCCGTAGTTGTCCGCCGCCGCCGGTGTCCGTAATCACATCGCACAAAATTAGAAAAAAAAAACATAGTGCCATGGTGCCAGTGGGGCTCGTAGCCGGGTCCACTGGGTGCCAGCCGAATACTCTACCACTGAGCCACGCCGGCGCTTGGGACTTCTTAGCAAACTCGTTTTAGGCAAGCTTGATGTCGGGATCGCGTGAATATGACTTTTGAAGCGTTTCAAAACAGCGAAAAAAAACGGTCTTCGCACAATGCCAATAGCGTAACCAGTGCGTCGTCCAATGATCAAACCCATTACAAAAGATTGTTCGTGTTTACCTAATAACTGTGAAGCATACCCACTTCAGCCAAAATTCCTCATTATCATCCGCCACTGCATGAACAATTGGCACGAAATTTTTTACAAATTTTCAGCGAATACCACGCTTCTTAGAATATTGACAATGAACAGCGTAGTGAATGCCAACCGACTACCCCAAAAATTTATTATTGATTCCCCAGTGGGTATTAAACAAGTATTCTTACAGTAGCTACGCAATGTGTGTTTTGTAAGGCTCTGAAAGGCCGCTCTGCTAGCTTTCGCTGTGACTGTTCTGCGCCTTCCGCGCAGGCCTGGCATTTATTATTTTTCGTCTCTTCCGACTGATTTCAATGACAGATTTGTGAATATCGTATCTCGACGTGATTGGACCCTCAAGCCATACGATAGACGTGATGAGAAAACAGAAGTTGTTCGGGTAGAGGTTAAACAACAGAACACTGTTACTATACCACCGTTAAGCAGAATTTACTAAAATCGCGTCTTTATTGTTCTTGCATCGACCGAAAGCACGCTCCACTTCAAAAATACTTCGAATGTTTTTTCTAATAGGCAAGTGCAGGTAACTGAGATATTGTAGACCTATATTCCACCTGCCTTCTCTTATCCCGCCTGCCTTCTTTTGTCAAAAGGTTTCATATGCTAACGGTACGAACATTCCTTAAAATCTATGCATCACCTCGGCGGAGGTCTCAGTATGTGTTCATGAACCAGCAGATCTCATTTTTCAACCACCGATGTTCGAAATTACGGGGCCCTCAAGTAATATTTTCACAGAAACGTTTGGACCCCTTAAGAGTTTACCTTTAAGAAATATTTGTGCTCAACACTGTAGATGAAATTAGGATTGAATTTGATAATATATGCTCAAGAATGCAAAACATTTACCATATCAGTATATAAATGGCATTTTGAAATTCATCTGGCCAATCTAGAAACATCCATTGTGATAGCGACTGATGCTTCTGTTTATTAAGAAAAGGTTGGCGTAGGAATCATATCATCCTCTCTAGATTGGGCTTTCTCAATTTTATTACCCGACTTTGCCCCTATTTACCAAGCTGAGCTACTAGCAATAGTCCTAGCATTGCGTACACTGCCCCAAGATTTATCCAGCGGTGATTGTTCTAACAAACTGTCTCTCGGTCTGTACTGCCTTAAGATCACCAACTTTTTCGTGTACCTTAGAAACTTTTTACTCACACATTCCTATACATGTGCGACTCGTTCGACTGGTTCACGTAACAGGCCTTAGAGGTCTAGCTCTCAATCAGGATACAGATGCACTAGCTGTATCTTGCCTTGATGGTCCTGTTTTAACTATTTCGCCTATTTCAGAATATATCACAACAACACGCTTTGAAAAACGCACAACGGCCAATAACTTCACAAAACCTCTTTTATTTTCATCAGACTATTCAGACCTGAAGCTCCTTTGGAAGAACAAGTGGTGTTAATCAAGAAAGGAAGAAATAGTAATTACAAGGCCGCGTTGTCGACTCCCTTCATTTAACTTTTGCCTTCACAGGTTGGGTCTGGTACAGTCGCCTTTGTCCCTTTGTTGTAATGAGAGTGAATCTTTGGAGCACTTTTTTTTGTCATGCTGAAAATTCAAATGTCAAAGAAAAAATCTACAAGAGGAACCCCAACGGAAGTAGGACTTTAAACTTGACACTTCCAGTGATTCTTTTATTTGGCGCAGTCGCATTTTGCTTCAGCCACACGAGTGTTTTTACCACTGTTACAAATTCTTTACGAGAACCTAAATGAATGGAATGCTAAATATAGATAACTTCTGTTGTCTTGTGTATACAATTTTTTTTTCTTTTTTGTGTGTTTATTACGTTTTCTTCTCAAGGTTCTTTTATTTTTGTTTTGAAATCTAACAAATTTAAATTATTACCTATATTACCTAACTAATCAAACCCTCCCTATCAAAAGTGAATTAATTAAAAAGCAAGGCACCATTCAATTCATGGCCTACCCCCCTAGGTGGGCTGCGCCAAGGTGTTGAGGAACCAACCAATCATAAATTGCGCTACGCTTGTTGGCGGGTTGCGTAGAAGACCGGCAAACAGCTCTTCTTTGACGCCCGTCATCAAATGTTGGAGTTTTTTACCTTCAGGTATCTCGGTTCAGCCCGCTGAAAAAGGCAGGTCATGTCCTCCGCAAACATGGTGACGCTTTCATTTAGTTTTTTTATGCGTGCCTTGAAGAGCTGCAGAGCAGAATCACGGCGGTCGGTGTTTGCGAGTGTCCCGAGAATTTGCTGCCGAAATACATACCACGAAATCAGCTTTGACTCGTGGTTCTCGAGGCACGGTGTGTTGCTGGAGAAGTTCGAGGGTTATCGCCTCGGGACTAAGGCCCTGCTGTCGGCGACTGTAGTGGTGGACAGGAGTATCCACTGCAGGAACGGGTTGTGGTAATGGACTTGAAGTGCCAGGGCGCGGAGGTGTTCCAAGTCTAAGATGGAGAAGTCCAGCACCTTCACCAATGTCGCGACGTGAGAATAACAGGATGCAGGACGACGATGCGACCAGGAAAAACAAGGCCTGTATTAATATAACAGAGCGGCCACTTCGATGTCGCCTTCCTCGGAGAAACCGTGGGTGCTGTCCACGCTCATCACATCGTCGTCCTATGTCTTCTTGCCCGGCCTGTAGCCGTGACATCATGTATTTACACACACACACACACACACACGCGCGCGCGCACACACAGTAGACTGTACCAGCGCACACCTGCGAATAGTACACACAGGTTTTTAATTGAAAGCAAAAGTCGCATGGCCTCCAAGAGAAACGCCACGCGCTTGACATAAAGAGTCGCACAATGTCTCACAAATGACAGCGCATTATCTAGCGTTTGCTGTTTGCTTGATCGACGCCTCTGGAAAGGCAAGATTTGTTTTGCTAGGTGGACATAGTTGTTCATTTTTAGAGCTGTTTGAATGTTCCCGTTTCTGTTTAGCGGCGATGGCTGCACTATGCCGGCCTTTTCCGACGTAGTTTGAGGCCTCCCAAATGCGCCTCTAAATCGCGGAATGGTTTATTTTCGCCATGGCACCTGTCGAACAAAATACTTTAAGGAG